CTGGTATTTGAAAACTGGTGGCATTCCTTTCAGGATCACAGCAACATTCCAGCCATAGGACTAAAAACTGACAGCTTACAGTTGGATTTTAAGCTGAGTACAAGTAACCAATCTCCTTGTTAGGGGGTCTATTAAGACCTTACTTGCATGGCCCCACCCCCTCAAGGGGGCTACCACAACTAACACATCCTATTTGCCTTATTAGTAAGTTGCATAATCACCTCGGTGGGCAACTAACACCTTATTTGCATAGTTCCATTGGATGGGAGTGGACTGGCCATGGCTGGAGTGACAGGAGGCGATTATTATGGTCATGGGATAGAGCTGGGCCATGTTGCAGGGTGCTTTGACTTGGAATTTATTCTATGGTACCTGAACATAAGCTCGAGAAGTAATTTATACTCCTGGGCAGTGTTGAAAACAATAGAGCAACCAGCTCACAGTCGTCCTGGGGGCAGAGTGGGTTAGGAGTTGGGCTGCTAACCACATGGTCAGCAGTTCAAAAGCACCATATGGTCAAAGGGCATAAAACAGCTTTGGACTTATATTGTCCTTAACGATCATAGCCTGCTCATGTGCGGTTCAGATGTGGCTCAGTTTCACAGGAAGGCTTCTTATGAGGGGCTCTCGGGCATGAGGAGTTACATGGAAATTCCCAAGCGGGTGATGAGAACATATGCTTGAAGAATCCATTTGTACCCCAAGAATCCCGTTTCTCTACAACTCCAGTTCTGATGTGCAGGCAACCTTATATGCCGAATGTCTGTAGCCTCCGGCTGGATAAAGAGGAATTGTTGTAGTTCTCTGACCCAGGAGATTTTGTGGACAACCATTATTGTTAGCCCCAGGCCAGGACTCTACTCCCAGGCCCTGACGGATGGTGTTTACTTGGGCCTGGGAGCAGAGCGTGAAGCTTTGTCTGGAAGATGTGTCTGAGCGGAACATAGCCAGAAGGGCCCATCACTCCTGCTCCAGTCTGTACACTCAGTGATGAGGATCTCTCCCTGTTTCCTCTCCCAGGACATCCACCGATTAGGATCTCTCCCTGAACTCTGCTAGGTGGTCTATAAAGCCCCCGACCTTTGGAAGCTGGTTCTGCCCTGCTCTGTGCTGTTGCTATTTCCTGCTGCTGTGAGCAGGTAAGGAGAGGGACTGAAGGAGTAGTAATTGAAGGGGAGGGATTACAGGGAGAGATGGGGAAGAAGCATAAAATCATGACAATTGAAAGCCTGGTGGGATGAAGACTATGAGGGGTCTATGGAACTTAGAAGACACTGAGATAGACTACCAGGAAAAGAGAAGGAGAAAAAGGAAATGATGTCCAACTCCACTGTACCTGTGGATTGATTGTTTAACAATCAATGTGAATACTCATTAAGATTCTATTGTACTAGCCCCAAGGAGACCTGGTGGTGTTTTAGTTGAAATACTTGTCTGCTAATCGAAAAGTCAGCCGTTTGAACCCAGGGAACAAATATGGGGATCACGGCTTCCATACAAATTTACAGTTTTGAAACTTTCTGGGTTTTCTACAGGATGCTGTGAGTTTAAATCAACTCTACAGCAGGAGGCTGGTGGAGCGGTGCCAAGGGAAGAAAACAGCATGCTCAAACGCTAAAGAACTCAGACTCCAAGCAGGAAAAAGAGATGTCACTTGCTTATAAAAATTACCAATACCAATGCAACTACTGTCCCTCGTTATCCTTAAAAAAAAACTAACTCCCTGCCACTGAGTAGATGCCAACTCATAGTCAGATATAAGGATCAAGCTACAAGAGATTTCGAGATTTCGAGCAGTGACGTTTCAGGCTAACTGACCCAGAGCTAGGAGGGTGAGGTCTTAATTATGGAAAGATTGATTTTAACATTGAGTGAAGAACAGAAAGTGTAATGGGATGTATTAATGAAGAGGATAAGGTCTTCACTGGCCTATTCCCCTGGTTACTAGATAGAGCATGGTCTCACTATTGGTTTTAGATACTATTAGTTCATTGAATCTAGAGAGAAAATCCTATGCTTCGTTTTGTGTTCATGTCTCTATTGCATAGGAAGACAACTTGTTAAAGAGCGAGTTTTCTAGCAGTAAAACGAGACTCTTCTCTTCCTGTCCCTCATCCAGTGGCATCTTCTTTTTCTTTCCAAGTCACTGTCCAGGGAACAGAATGTAACTGCTGTCTTCTTTACTGGTATCTTACCTCTGCTCAAAACTCCCCTTTGCACATGGCATCACATGGGGACACACATCACTTACATACGTATACATGTATGCATACATTTAAAAACACATAAAATTCATGTATATTTTTTCAATGTGTCATGAAAATTCAGTTTTCTATTTTTCTTATCGGCTTCTCTGGCAGTAGGGTTCAGTACAAAGCAATGGAGTTCGGAGTTCATAGATCTGGTTTTGATTATTGGATGTATTTGTAACTATTTTACCTTCGATATGCTGCTTCAAACCTCACCGGGGCCATTTAATTTCTTTAAAACAGAAGAAAAATCTCAGCCTGATTATTTTCTGGGATTATGTAAAATGATATATTAAGAGGCTAGCGAAACATACATCCTATAGTGAACATATTATTTTCCATTTCCCTAAGTTTATTGTCCTTTATTTATTTCTCAATCAATGACAGAGTGAGCACTTTATGTTCCTTGCTTTATGCTAGGTTCAATCTATATGTCTATTTTCCCTTCTTCATCTACCTTTTCATAATTTGTCACTTGTTAACCATCACTGGCTCCCCAGTTGCTATCAAGCTGCCTCCGAGCCACTGCAATCCCAAGCGTGTTGGAGTAGAATTGTGTTCTACAGGGCACAATTTTGGAAGTAGTTTGTGAGGTTGTTCTTGCAAGGCGCTTCTGAAAGACTTGAACTGTGTTTTCCCGGAGAGATAATACGCGACCTGGAAGAGGAAATGTGATCAGGCAATCACCATAAAATATAGGTGTTATAAAAAGTACATATAAAATGCTTTTAGAAGACAATCAGTAGACCGAGTAAGTTTGTGTTGTAGAAGGAACTATGGATAGTTGTTACATAAAAGGAGGTTTACTTTTAAAACCTATCTTTGTCAAGCTGAGAAAGCAATCAAACCAGAAATCCCAGTAGTTTTGTTTCCATATAGTTATATTATTCTATTTTGTCTTCCCTGATATTCTTATGTAGTAATAGCTCACCATTTAGAGTCTCCCTTGGCTTTTTACTTGATTCAGTTTTACAAGGTTGTGAGAGTTTTAAATACAGAATTGATTCTTTACTTATCTCTGTCTCCCTGGCCATCAGCACAGTAACTGGAATGAAATAGTCATTTATGCACTGAGACGTGATTTCATTTAGTGTATTTATAATTCATACCTCATTTGGTATCAGTTTCCCCAATTATTTTCTAACCAAATAATGGCCTCAGGTAATATACCTTGATTACAGCAAGAAAAGTCATGCTCCCTGTTTGCACTCCCTTTACGAGAACATGAGACGATTTCTCTCACCATATTCCGTAGGCTTGGAAAGAGGATAAGAAAACTAAACCAGTCCCTCATTTTCATCTTTATTTAGTGATCAGTCAGCTCTGGCGTCAACATTTTTTATATTTAATCTGTCACCAGTGTAGCCAAGGGCAGACTGAGATGAAGACACTTAGGCTGTGCTGTGCGCACATCAACAGTTGGGCTAGATACATCACTTCCTTGTGAGCTCTTTGTTGATGACTGCTTGGCCTAAGAAAATAAATAAATAAAATCAACAATGACTATACAAGAATTCAGGGACAAGTTTTCAATATAATTTCAATGATTATTTCTAGATATAGGTCCCAGATTCTGCCTTCCTGTTTATCCAGTTATTTTTTGGTGTTTTTTTTTTTTCCTTCTTCCAGCTCCTATTCTATGCGGTTTCTCATCTACTGAACTATTTGAAACCACAACATATGATGCTTCGTCAGTCTGGCTGTTGTTACAGTAACTTGGTTTGTGTTTTCAGTCGCTATTTCTGACTCATTTATACTTTTTCCCAAGTCATTCATCGCATGTTGCTCTTTCCCATGCAAGAGTCAACATACCCGACAGTCATCTAACAACGTGAATAGAGCCAAGCTCTAAAAGAGTCTTTCAGAAATGTATCTATGAGTGTTCAGTGTTAGGTTTACTTATAGCAAAAGCAGGACAGCAGAGAGGAGGTATACAGATTTAGCCTGTCCTGGGTTCTTAGATAATGCAAAGACTCCAGCTCAATCATAGTGTAGATAATTAATGAAAGTGCGACCTCCAAGGTGACTGCACTCTTGTTCTGTGGATGACAAATTGCCAGAATTGAAGTAGAAATGGATATGGCAGGCATGTAGCTAAGCTTAACCTCCTATGCCTGGATCAGGATACTTAAAACATGTATTCTGAAATAATTTCTGGAATTTTTGATAAGATTCATGAGGAAATTCTGCTCCCAGTAAGTGTATTCAGGATCACATGGTAGCTGTCTATGAAAAGCAGTAGAAACAGACATCTCCAAATATACGATGTGGAAAAAAAGGATAATAGGAATGTTTAGACCTAGGAGACTTACCCAGAGACATAGAAGTAGAGCATATGATAAATCTAAGTCCCATAAACCTGTGCAGTGGGGAAGGAGCTCCCCATAGGAGCAGTATAGAGAAGTCATATTTACTAACTAAACAAACACCAAACTCACTGCTATCGAGTCGATTCCAACTTATCATGACCTTATAGGACAAGATAGAACCCGAGCGGGTAGAACAGGGACCCTATCGGTCCCTGTGAGTTTCTGAGACTAAATCTTCACGGGAGGAGAAAGCCCCACCCCAAAGAATGGCTGATGATATCAAAGTTCTGACTTTGACCACTATACTACCGTGGTAATTTGATTGGGTATGCTGAAAAAAGAGAGATAACAGTGTAATTGTAAAAAAAAATTCAAAAGGGGTTAGACCGTAGGAATAACAGCATAATATACACGAAACTATAACCACTGTTTCTCTTTTCAGGTGTGCCTTCAGCTCACCATGTTCATTTTTAATAATACCACGTCCTCCTCCCCACACTTCCTCCTGACTGCTTTCCCTGGGCTGGAACTTGTTCACGTCTGGATCTCCATTCCCATCTGCTGTCTTTACACCATTGCTCTCTTGGGGAACAGCATGATCCTGTTTGTCGTCGTTACTGACAGGAGTCTCCATAAGCCTATGTACTATTTCCTTTCCATGCTGTCAGCCGTTGACCTATGTTTGACCATCACAACCCTCCCCACTGTGCTCGGGGTACTATGGTTTCACTCCCGGGAGATCAGCTTTAAAGCCTGCCTCGTTCAAATGTTCTTTATACACACCTTCTCCTTCCTGGAGTCCTCTGTGCTGGCAGCCATGGCCTTTGATCGTTTCATGGCCATATGTAACCCGCTGAAGTATGCCACTGTCGTTACAGACATGCTGACCACGGTGATCGGGGCAGTTATCTGCATCCGGCAAACACTTGTCATGTTTCCCATGTTTCTAGTCCTAAAGAAATTGTCCTTCCATGGAGGCCACGAGCTCTCCCACCCATTTTGCTATCACCCAGATATGATCAAATACACATCTTCTAACCCTTGGGTGACCAGTATTTTTGGCATGTTTCTTCAGCTCTACCTGACTGGCACTGACTTATTATTCATCTTTTTGTCCTATATCATGATCCTCCGCACTGTTCTGAGCACTGTGGCCCCCAAGAAGCAACAGAAAGCCCTCAGTACGTGTGCCTGTCACTTCTGTGCTGTCACCATTTTCTACATGCCAATGATCAGCCTTTCCTTGGCACACCGCTTCTTCAGCTCCACTCCAAGAGTGCTTTGCAGCATTTTGGGCAATATTTATCTTCTCTTACCACCTGTACTGAATCCCATAACATACAGCTTGAAGACCAAGAGGATCCGCCAAGCGATGCTCAAACTGTTCCAACTGAAGTGCTCACAAGCTTCCAGTGGAAGGGAGGCTAGCAGAAGGTGAGCTTGGAAAAGTGGAGTATTCTCAGCGTGAATTATATGTTAAGTAGGTAAGGGATTTGGGATGATGGTTACTGAAGCTATTCCACCTGAATTGTTGGCATAAGAAAAAAGAAAATTTCCTGAGCTTATCAAAGAGTATAAGCAAATTACTGAAATTCAAACGAAATTGTGTACAACTCCGTCAAACATTTTAAAAACAATAACGTGAGCTCCTGTGCACATTAAGAGCATAGTATGATCACTATATCCCGGATGAAAAATATAACCACGTGTTTAAGAAAAAAATTATTAGACCACAAATAAAGTTTTCTCTTATTCAGATGAATAAATAAAAGTGTTCTCTTGTAGTTAAATTATCCAGAAGCAATGTACAGTTTTCCTTGAACTGGTAATGGAAGAGTGACATATGTTTTCCAGTGCACACAGATTTGCTATGTA